AGCAGGAATTGCAGGACCCAGAGCGCACAGAGCAGAGAGCGGACAGCAGATAACGGAATTGCAGTTTTATTGCTTATAGATTATCAGAACATTTCAAAGGGGACACAGCCCCATTGGATATTAACCTATGGATTAACTACATCATCGTTTTTATCGTTTTAATGCCATTAAAGACCAGTTTAGACTAGGCAAAGACGAAGGTAAGCCATGTTAGCCTAGCGCATGTTAGTACCTAGCGCATGTTAGTACCTAGCGCCACTTGTTTTGATGTACGTTTTTGTTGATAACGTCGCAAGTTTGTATCTTTCAGTGTTGAGGTGAGCACCGTTAGATTCTGTGTCTTTACGATCATAAACGATGTGTTGGATGTGCAGCTAGGATAAGTAATAAGGGAGCTAGGAGTGATTTTCGGTGCAGTAATAGGTTAGCATTTTTCGCTCGGGGCTAATTCAGAGGCTCACTGTTAGCATTGTGTGTTTTTTTTGAAAAAATAAATGAAAAAGATCAGTTAAATTAGTTTTTTCCCGTTATATGGATATAAAATATTCATAGTTCATTAAATATTAAGGTTCCTTAGACGTTGTTTCCTGCAAATGACGCGATTTCGGGTCCGTGGGGCCTAAGAGGATAACAGAGTATGTTTTTTTTTTTATTTGTTTTTTTTTCACAACAGTTGTATTTGGATGGAATGAATACCTATAGTGATAATTCAAAGTAATACAATGATTTTTACAGTGAAAAAGTTCAAATGGAACGAAATTACCCTGAGGTGAGTCTAAACCTCTCTAAAAAGGTCAAATTTCAGTTGTTTTGCATCAATCTTGATACAGGGTACTTATTATATGTTATAGTTTGGATTCCTAAAGCTTTTAGTCTACTAACCCATCATTCAAGGGTGGTTTTCACTATAAGTAATGGGGTTTTTTTTAAGCGGACATTAGAATTTACATGTTTTCACTATGTTCCATCTGAATTTACTTTAAAATAAAAACATCTATATTGATTCTGACACGTCTACATCCAACTCACAGATGTAACCTTGCTTTGAGAGAAAAGATTATGAATTTACCCCTTTTAGAAGTGAAGATATAGTCTTTGTTGTGTTAGTGGCATTTTCGAGCCTGAAACCTGAAAAACAGGCTCAGGGCTTAAGAGGTTAATCCATTGTGATATGATTCTTACTGTCCAGTTTCACTCGTAGAGTGCGATTCCACTTAATGCAATGGCAATTTAAATGTTCCAATGTCCTATATCCTTTGCCATTACTTCACAGAAGGGTTTAGAGTGATCCAGACGCAGACACAAACAGAGGATTTCCAGTCTTTTGCTGCAGTTTATAATTATGTTTATTTAGCTTTACATACCAAGGTTTAATTATGCTGTGTCAAAGGTTGTGGTATGAGCATCTGCCGGGCTGGTGGAATCGGTATGCTCTTTCCTCCTGTGTCCTTTCCTGTCACCTATGACCTCTTTTATACACCCGGTGTGGCTAAACCCCACCACCAAGTGTTCAAAAATATTATTGCACTATACATATAAATAAAGTCAACTGAGACACCAACAACACCCAAGAAATGGCTCCTACAGAGATTAAAATACGATTAACCACATGGTGGTAGGGCCACCATGCGGTAGAGAAGATTCTGCTCTCCCTGACGGGAGTCTGCTCTTCTAGCGGCAACTCACGACGTGTTGGAGACCCCTGAATTAAAGTATCAAGTCACCTCAAGTCAGAAGGCTCAAGTCCAAGTCAAGTCCTGAGTCATTGGTGTTCAAGTCCAAGTCGAGTCGCAAGTGTTTTGTGATTTTGTCAAGTCAAGTCATGTGACTCGAGTCCACACCTCTGGTTGTCAATCGTGATGTTTTTCATGTATAACTCCTGAGTAAAACACCCCACATAATATAAAATAAATCAAATAAGCTTAACCTTTACCTACTGGAAGAAAAAAATAGTGAAAATACATTAACACACCATTAATTATAATTCAATATCTAAAACAGGCTATTCTGCATAATGAGAACATTTCTGAGCATGGGCAAAATAGCTTCAGATATCAGAACACTTATCACACACACACACACACACACATAATTGTGGGGATGAGGGGAGGGGGGTTTAGGGCATTTTACAGCCAGGGGGATTAAAGACTGGAGGAAACAGGGAGGAGGTTGAATCTTATTAGTTTTAATCCAAAAACAGACAGACACCCCCCCTACACTAGCAGTAGGTGGTACTGCTAACCACACACACACACACACACACACACACACACACACACACACACACACACACACACACACACACACACACACACACACACACACACACACACACACACACACACACACACACACACACACACACACACACACACACACACACACACACACACACACACAGGGAGATGAACCCTTTCAGTCAGACTGAATGCAGGCCACCTGCAGCATTTGTTTGTTTTATTTCAGATTCACATGATGCTCCCCCCCCCCACGGCCCCCAGAGATCCCCTGCCGTGGTGTCTGCCCATGTTTAGCCTCTGCCTTGCCCCCGGGCCATCTGCTCTCGTCACTACCTCCCTGCTCAGTTGCCAATAAAGGTATTGTATTCGAAGGAACAGTCTTCTGCATTTGGATCCTTTGTACTCTGCTCTCACGCCCTGACAGTTACAGCTAGAAACCAAATCCAACATCCACTTAAATGCAACTGATTTAAATCAGTAGAGAGAAGTTAATAACTGCTGGATCATTTCAGTTATTCACTGAGAGTCAAGGAGTAAACACGAGCAGACAGGGGGGGGGGGGGTAAATCAACATGTGATGATGGTCAGCAATAACGTCTTCACTTGGTTCACTACCAGATCAGACAGTGACTGGTGGGGGGGTCACGATGTGATTTTGCTGCTGCAGGGCCTGCACCCTCAGCGGGATCAGATAATCCCTGCTACCCTAATCCTGAGCAGGGAGGGGGGGCACCATCCACACCACCCTCCTATCCGCTCAATGTTGGAGATGCAGTGAGGGGAACCTGAATCTTTCTGTCACACTCACTTTAAGACAAAGCTTACATTTATAGCCCCATACGGAGTATCCTTCAAACAATTTATAACAAATGCCAGATTTGTTTTGAATGACAGCTTTAACTTTCACTTTCCATTCAGCCAAATAAAAAGACTCTTCTGCAATCAAAAAACGTCACATGCTCCGGCTACACTCTCTTCTTCATGTCCTGTCCTCCTCCATGCAGCACACACCATCCAGCACTCATGAGTTCTCCTTCACACCTACTCCCACCATGCTGTAGGACTAGGAGGCACTTCTTCATATCCATTCATGTTAACATTAATGGTCCTGGAATATAAATCACAGCAAAACAAGAACACATTTGCTTAGTTAAAACCTATGATTTTCATTCTGTAAAATCATGTGGGAATGATATCGCTTTATCAATGACCCTGCAGACTTTCATTCAGTCTTTAAAGTGTAAATCCAATTAACACATACAGTATTATATAATATATAATCCTATAAAAAGTCTGTAGCAGAGGGCAAACTAAATAAAAAGAGGAGGCTCCTCTGTGTTTGAGACAGAAGAAGAAGAAGAAGAAGAAGAAGAAGAAGAAGAAGAAGAAGAAGAAGAAGAAGAAGAAGAAGAAGAAGAAGAAGCAGAAAATAAGACTCTAATAACATCCTCCTCCTCTCCTCCCTCCTCCTCCTCCGCCTCCCTCCCTCCTCTCCTCCTCCTCCTCCTCCTCCTCCTCCTCCTCCTCCTCCTCCCTCCTGCCTCCTCCTCCCCTCCTCCTCCTCCTCTCCTCCTCCTCCCTCCCCTCCCCCCTCCTCCTCCTCCTCCTCCTCCTCCTCTCCTCCGCCTCCTCCTCCTCCTCCTCCTCCTCCTCCTCCTCCTCCTCCTCCTCCTGCCTCCTCCTCCGCCTCCTCCTCCTCCTCCTCCTCCTCCTCCTCAGAAGAAGAAGAAGAAGAAGAAGAAGAATAAGAATAATAATAATCTCAGGTAGCGTTTACCCCCTTGGTGCGGTTCGTTTGGGTCGGTGTGAACGCAGTCCGAGACCTCTGAAGTGAACTAAACAACCGGACTCTGGCCCGCTAAAATAGGTGGTCTCGGACCGCTTGCTAGTGAACTCTGGAGCGGTTCATCGCTGGTGTGAACGCAGTCCGCACCAAAACACAGGAAGCGTAGGATTTACGCGTCACAAGAACGTGGAGATCTTAAAAAATCTTTAGCGAAAGAGTGAAGCAGAATGAAGTGTTGAACAGTGTCGTGTAAAGTAAAAATGCTCCGTCAACTATGCATAAAAGTCAGAGCCACCTGTCGTCGGTGAAACCTCCTCCTGAATGCAGAACGTCTTTCATTATGTGTAATAATTTTTTTTAACGCACGTTGTCTGATTTTATATTCATATTCGCCGTCCTGAAAAAAAGGTGTGAATGTGACCTCAGTGACAGACAGAGAGCTAACACATCAAGAGAAGAAGAAGATGAAGCCTCAGACTTCTGATTCCTCTCAGCTGCTCTCAGGGTGTTTTGACGGTTAGCAGGAAGTGACCCACATATCCAACAACAGCAACCAACAGATCATCATTTCCTAAAAAGCTTTGAAGCCTCCATCCAGTCAGAGGTTTGTTGAGTTCTCCTGACATACTCACTCTTTATCCATTCAAACTGGAAAACAGGAGCACACACTCTTCATGTGAATCACACCTGTGAAGTGTCTCTTTATCCCAATTCAGTGCAGAAAGCAGACGCACTAGATGATCACACACAATATGTTATGCTGATCAGCTCGTTAATTAATATGCTGATTACAAAATGTTGCCATGGAAACAGGACACTCAGTCATCGTGGATCATACCAACTGTGCGTCTTGATGGTTTTAAGTGGTTATTACATTGATTTTCTTTTGTACAACAACACAGTGGTTTCATAATGTCCTGAATGCAGAGCAGTGACAATATTGTGTGTGTGTGTAAAATAAATTGGCATCTTACCTTGAACCCAAGATTGTCCAATCACAAGTAGCTTCACAGGAGGGCCAATCAGTGACAAAGATATCTCCAATCCAGGAAGAGATATAATTTGATCCCGGTCCTGAGTCACTCATCCGTACATTAATCTAAAGGCAGAGAAGAGATGGAGTCAGCAGTGTAGCCAGGAGCACTTATTTCATCTTTATCCAAATGCATTGTGGGATGGGCACAGGCTTCACAGAGAACGAGGACTACAGGCTACAGCGGACTCGCGGCAGGGGAAGCAAACCCAGACAACACACGACGTAGCTTTACGGAGCAAAAACGTCAAATATGTCTTACCTTTTGCTGTTTCTGATCAAAAGTTGTGTTCAATGGCATTAAAACGAGAAAAACGCTGCTGTCTGTGTCACTTTCAAATGATTACTGATAATCCATCATCATATTTATGTCAATAACGGAGTTTTCATATATAGCTGCTATGATAGCTACGAGAGTGTATGACAGCTTCCGGTTTTGGGCATTCTGGGTATGCATCACTCATTCACCAATGGGTAATGTTTAGATGGATTTTTAGGAACTTCCTCTCGATTATATTGGCTCTAACGGTAAAAAAAGAGGTGTCAATCATCAAAATCGACCGAGGGGGTCCAGAGATATGGAAAATCCACCCAAATGACCCCAGAAGTGTTTTGTTTTTTCTAAATCTCTCTAAAAAGGTCAAATGTCACTTGTTTTGCATCAATCTTGATACAGGGTATTTATTATAGTTATAGTTTGGATTCCTAAAGCTTTCAGTCTACCATCCCATCATTCAAGGGTGGTTTTCACTATAAGTAATGGGTTTTTTTTGGACGGACACTATAATTTACATTTGTTTTACTATGTTCAATCTGAATTTACTTTAAAATAAAAACAATTTTATATTGATTCTGACTTTTCTACATCCAACTCACAGGTTTATCATTGCTTTGAGAAAAAAGATGATTAATTTACCCCTTTTAGAAGTGAAGATATGGTCATTTGTTCTGGGAATGTCATTTTCGAGCCTGAGGCCTGGGGGCTTAACTGGTTAATGAACCTGTGCAACAACTGCAGCAGCAGTGAAAGAAAACTTCAGATGCTACGTTACTTTCTGTGATCTGAATGGTTTTGAATAATATATGAGAGTAAAATCTACGTCACTTTACAGCCCCGCCCACTTTTGGGGAAACCAATGCTGTCAATTGAACGGCGATCAAGCCTGAAGCCACATAGATCTTCTGTTACTGTCCTTTGTTCTTAGAGGAAGTACAGAAACACGTAACTCTGGATTTGTTTCAATGTTTGAGGTGCAATAAACGACACAGCAGCTTTTTGGCATGTTAAAACTATTATTTTCTGCCTCGCTCATGAGAGTAACAGCTGGCGAAATGACTGCCTCGCCTACTGATTTCAAATGTGTGCTCTAAAATGATATTTATAAATGACTATTATCATTATTATAAGAAAGACAATGAATGGCAAAGATATGTAGAAAATAAACGTATTTAAGATACGTTCATAACGAATGTAACGTGGAAGAAAATACGTTTCTAGCTAAACAAAATTGAGAATGCAGTTTAGTTCTGTGGGAACGTAATTTTTAGGAGACAGGGTTGCCATAATACATTCTGACGAAAAATACAAATTATTATGAATACAAATAAAATAAAAGAAGCCTCCCGTGAGTTACTACAAGCTATAAAGTAGATTTTATAGAATAAAAGCTCACTGCTGGACGTTGTAGAAATGCGTGTGTGCACCACGACAAAGGAGCCTCATTCCCTTTACATCGGGGTTGTTTACGTGGTGCAGACACGTAAACAGAGATGGGGTCGTTACTAAAAAAAAGTAATATATACATATTACATATTACTTTTTAAAAAAGTAATATATTACACTACTTCGTTACTCTCTACATAAAGTAACTCGTTACTTTACTCGTTACTTTACTCGCTACTTTACTCGCTACTTTACTCGCAGGGCCGGCCCGCCCCTCCCTGCAGGCAGAACACGCAGACTGCTAAAGTTTCAAATGTTCTCTTTAGTTCAGTTTCCATTGTCGCATAAGACTGATCCAGATCCTGAATGTTTTCCTATCTGACCGTGGCTGTCCTCTGTCTCCTGCTATCTGTATATTTTGCACAGTCTATCTCTGCTCACGCTGTTGCATCGGCGTGTTCTCCTGCTGTTGGCCATGTGTTGCACTTGAACCAGACACCGCAAAGACTTCAGCCGAGCACGTACAAACTGCGCATGCGTGAGTGGCAATAACTCTCCTTACCAGCAGGCGGCGGTAGTGTGTATTTGTCATTCAAAACAGGCAACAACCGGAAAACAGAGAAGAAGAACAGACTACGTGATATAAACAAACAACAAATAGCGTGTGCGTTAGCTTCACCTTAGCATGTGTTCTTTGCAGGTGTTTGTTGAGGTGTGATTATGACTGATTTTAGTAAGTAACGAATTAACGCGGGTCGGGGCAATGTTAGTAACTGTAGTGTGATTACTGAATTATAAAAGTAGTGGCGTTACACAAATCCGTTACCGACAAAAGTAATATTATTACAATAACGCGTTACTCTGCACGTAAATGTAGCAAAGTTCGTGACTCCACCACACACTGCGGTGTTAAGGAGTCGTGGTGGAGTCACGCATTGATATCAGGTTGGATCCGAAGCATAGTAACTATGTGCTGAGATGCATGTTGCACAATGTTAGTTTTGAATAAAATGTGATTTTTTTTCAAGCCAGAGTTAACACTTAACACATAAGTTAACACTTAAGACTGGATGTTATTCATCTTGTGCATGCGCAGGTAGAGTATTATATTATTATATAATATCAACAAAGTAATATGCAGAGGTGGGACCAAGTCATTGTTTTGCAAGTCTGAGTCAAGTCTCAAGTCTTTGCGCTCAAGTCCGAGTCAAGTCTCAAGTCAGGTTGGGCCAACCCAGTCTCATAAAAAAACGTGTAATAACTACGTTGGTCCACAACATAGGATGTAGTATTTCTACAAAAACGCCTCTGAAATTGTAAGATCCCTACGTTTTTTTTCACCATTCATTCCAATGGCTGGCGTCTATGTCACGTGATCTTCACATTTCTCCCTGCAGAAAAAAAAAACATGGCCGAATTTCGTTTTATTCTCGGTGTAAAATGCCTATTTAAAGTTAGTTTGGCCATTAAAATGCGTTTTGATGTCATTTGATGCGAGAAATATGAGTTGTTATTTCAGATGATGTGTGCAGTGGATGCACATGATCTTTAGTTTGCTAGTTATTACGAAGATTAATTCAGGAAATTGTGTCGATACAACGTTTTCATTGTTACCAAGGTGGTTGCTAGGGACGCTGCTATCGATATTATTTCTGTTATGTTGTGTAACAGTTTAATGGTGTAATCTTTATTGCTACCCCCTTCCCCGTCAATGTATAGTGTTGGTCCACAGCGCAAACGTTTAACAAAATCCGTATTTAAAATTGTGGCATAGATACGTTATTTACGCAGTCGAAAGCTATGTTACGCTCTGAAAACTGAAACCTAGGCTCAAACTAGTAAATATGAAGATGGATTATCAGTAATCATATCAAAGTGACACATTGCATTAACCATTGGATTAACCTTCAGCAGCCTTTTTATGGTTTTGATGCCATTGAACACAACTTTTGATCAGAACAACAGCAAAGGTAAGACTATTCGCGTGTTTGCTCCGTAAAGCTACGTTGTGTGATGTCTGGGTTTGCTTCCCATGCCGCGAGTTCTGGTCGCTCAGTGATGATACTTATATTTCTGGAATCTGTGGAATCTCAGCTCGCTACGTAGCTGGTGTCTTGTTTGTGCAGATCCGATAAGTGGTGCAATGTTTCTACCGTGAGTTCTGTGCTAAGTGCATTTGCATTTTTTCCGCTCAGGGCTAATTCAGAGGCTCGGCGTTAGATTTGTGTTTAGTTTGGCTAAAAATGGTTCATATCGTCAGTTAGCTGAGTTTCTTCCCATTAAGTGGATATGACACATTCATAGTTTGTTAAATGGGAAGAAGCCCTCAGACGCTATTTCTTGCAAGATGTTGCGTTTTGCCCCCGGTACCAGGGGCATAGGGCATAACTGGTTAAGACCTATCTGCTCCAGACAGGGGTAGCTCACCATCAACCTGTGGGCATAGGGTGGCATGGGGCTTAACAGGTTAAGTATTGCTGAAGTTTGAAGGTTATCTTATCTTCCAGTTATTCAAGGCGAGTGAAATGAACACTTGAATGTTTCACATATCAACATGGTAGTTATAAATGCACAGCCTACTGCTCATACAGCATGCATTTCCTTAAAATATCTGACATATGGAAATAAAACACATCCAATGCAGTGTGATGCAGACCGAGTCTGATCCTGAGTTCCACTCTGCAGCCTCTCCGGGTTCAGAAGTGTCACTGTGCTTCTGCTTCCTGCAGGGATACCGTCACAGCCATCACCTCATGCAGATTATCTGAAGCAGTGTGACATCCTCACACTCTTCATACACTCTGCACACATGCACACACTCTGCATACACACCGGCTAGCTTTAATTCCGACTGGTTACCTTCAGTTTACATTACACATTTCTACTCATAGCATCATGTGGACTGCTTGTGAGTAGGAACATGTGACAATATGTGTCCATGAATGTGTCACTCAGATGTCTGAAGCAGCAGCTTGTGTGTCCTTCAGAAACGTTACATGTATTTATGCCAAAATGTCTTGTCAGGTGCACACAGACAACAAAGTATGTAGACTGATGCAAGAAGTCGGGGACTGAAGGTCTCCAGCAGGAGTTCTGCCGGCGGCTGTGGCTCAGTGGGGAGAGTGCTGGAGTTTGAATCAGGGGATTGCAAGTTCGAGTCCCACTGCAGTCAGCATGTCGTTGTGTCCCTGGGCAAGACACTTCACCCCAAATTGCTCCTGTGGGGATTGTCCACAGTACTGAATGTATGTAAGTCGCTTTGGATAAAAGGGTCTAACGAATGACATGTAATGTAACATTGATGCAAAAATCTTGTAATCTTGGTTCAAGAGGCTCACAGGTCGGTAATTTTAACAATCTAGCCCATCTCCTCCCTGCTTGGGGATAACAGTTATTACTGCTT